GGATTGGAATTAATTTCTTATTGTTCAATAATTTATTATATAAAAGTAAAATCTTTTTTTATCATAGATAATAATTATTATTTTAAATCGTGATTCGTGATTTATTAATAATAACATTGTCGTATGACATATTATTTTGAAAGGTGAAATTTAATTTTTTATAAAATAAATGAATTCATAATATTTTTTTTTTTATCAATAATAATACCTTTTACTCGTTCGCCATTATTTTATTTTTGATCAATAAATTATCGAAATAACTCCAATTAACTATTACATTTTCCTCATCATCCTTTGAATTGAATTTTTTCTTTCCTTAGCAGCACCGTTTTCTTCCAGGAAAAATTCTTCCTGTAAATAATTAAATACAGTGTGCAATAACGATCCAACTGCTTTAATAATGGCTCTGTCCGAGCCAGTTTCTTCTCTCTCTCTCTTTCTCTCTCTTTCTCTCTCTCTGGAACAAAACAATCGTTCTTTATTATTTTTCTGCGATTTCAGCTGGAGGTGGTCCACGGTGGTCCGAAACAGGATCGTGCATCTTCACTCAGTTATTCAGGTTTTTTTTTTTTTTTTTATTACGCCTTTTTCCCCTCGCCAAGAGAATATTTATACCGTCAGACGCGCGTGGCAAGCAATCCTCTTTTGTTATTCTCCCTTCCTCTGGAAACGTTCCGCCAACACGGTGAATTTAACTTCACAAACTCGAGCTCCAAGGATTAGAAGACGCTCCCGTTGAACGAAACGGTTGATTAATCGTTAATTGCAGCTTATCTTTTTCCGTTGAAAAACGAATTACCGGGATTATTTCACCTTCATGGCGATTCACAATCGCGCGATAAAACATGATCTGTAATCGATCGAAAATTTTTCAATTAATCTTGTCTTTTTATTAATTTTTCGCATTGTCATAAATAATAATAATAAATAATTCCTCTTCGATTCTTTCGATATATTTGTCACAAAGTTAGATAAAGTTAGACACGATTTTCAATTCGTGTATTTCTCGAGGATTAATAATTATTATAATAATGTTCTCTAATAAGCTGTAATTATGGCAAGTACTTAAGGTCTTCGAACTTAGTTACTTAGAGCTACGAAATCTCTTAATTTTGTTTAATTATTCAAATCGAGAAATCGCATTTCCATTTTCTCTTCTATCTCCATCCCTCTCGAAATTGGAATTTCCACGGAGCACAAAAGGCCAATTTCCCTTGGCATTCGTTCAATGTCTCAAAGAGTTTCGAGCTATGCTCCAACTCTTTCTTTTCGAATAATTTTTGATATTATCGAGCAATTTTCCAAAAAGTAGCTTTTTTCCCTTCTTCATCATTATCATCGACATCTCTGCTTTTTATTTAATTTTTTCTCCTCCCTTCTCGATAGCAATTTCGAATATTTTCCAAAAAGTAGTATTTTTTCTTTTTCATCATTTCCATCGATATCTCTGCTTTTTTGTTTTTTTTTATTTAATTTTTTCTCCTTCCTTCTCGATATCAATTTCGAATATTTTTCAAAAAGTAGTATTTTTTCTTCTTCATCATTCTCATCGATATCTCCATTTCTTCGTTTTTTTTATTAAAAATTTCCCTCCCTCCTCGATAGCAATTTCGAATATTTTCCAAAAAGCACTTTTTTTTTTCTTCATCTTTCTCATCGATATCTCTGCTTTTTTTTATTTAATTTTTTCTTCCTCTCATCGATAACAATTTCGAATATTTTCCAAAAAATAATATTTTTCCTTCTTCATCATTCTCATCGATATCTTTGCTTCTTCATTTTTTAATTAATTTTTCCCCCTCTTCCTCGACAGCAATTTCGAAATATATTTGGAATATTCGTCTATATCTCGATATTTTCCCCCCCAAATTCATTATCTTCTTCCGTTCGCTGGATCCATTATTAATTCCTCTATTTCCATCTTTCTCCAATGCTAATCGGATAATCGAATTTCACGTATACAATTACGTATACCTATTCCACCGATATCGTAGTTAATCGACTCGAGTTCTTTGCCTATATTCAACCACAAATATATATATATGGTATTTAAGGTGTTGCAGTAAGATGGTTGGATATCATAGAATTATCTCGAATAAATCGCATATCGAATCGAGATTGAATATTGTTTGCAGAGGAAGAGGGATATTATTGTATTATTATTTATTCCTCTTCTTCGAACGAAAAAAGTAATCACTTGGATTTGTGATTCTATTAATTCTCACTTGTATAGGACAGACAAGTTTATAATCAATAAACTTATTAGAGTTAATTATTTATTTCCATTGTGAATCCACGAAGCGTGGAGCATATTAAATTATCCTCGTTTATTGAATTGTTATTATTCTAAAAATACTTTAAAAATGAAATTTTAAACAATTCTAAAGGATATTATCTTTTGCTTATCGTTTGTTAATAACAATCTTTATTTATAAAACAAGAAAACTAATCAAAATATAAATAAGAATATATAATATATATATCCTTGTAATATATATATAATATAAATATATAATATATTATATTAATTTATTAATATTAATATTAATATATATTTTATTAATATTAATATATATATATTATTGCACGACTTAATATTTAATATTAAAAATAAAAAATATCATCAAATTCTTTTACGCGTAAAATTATTATTTTTAAGTTTAAAAGTTTAAATTTTGGAAAGAATTGCGAAGATTCTGTGCAACAATTGTGGAGACTCTCTTGTGGAGAATTATTAAAATAAAATATCTGATACCAATACCGTAGCACGAAACATGCATCAATTTACTTCCTTCTGCAAAGTACTTGTTCTGTAGCGACACGCTAATGACAAGACGCAAGTTGCTGTATGGAGCAAGCAATATTCATTACAGCTGCAACAGAGATAGAGTCTCGCCACTTTGATGAAACTATTATTACTCGACGTGAAAGCGCACAAGAGACAACCGATTCCCTATACAAGGTGACCGACTTATCAGGAAGCGATTGTATCCTAAACTCAATTAGAAATAATAAAGATATAAATTCATTTCTATCGTTTTTCAAGCAATAGATTCCTATATATATATATATTGCTTACATATAATGCTTATATTATTTAATAGAAATTTTGAAATAAAATGAGCTTGATTCATAAAATTACTTGAAATTACATTACAAAAATTGGAAAAAAATTTACTGTAAAATTATCATTTATTACAGACATATATATAACTATTTGATTACTTTGCTTATTGTTTTATCAAAAGAGCAAATGATATGATATCCATTCTAATATATAATGTTATATTATTTAATAGAAATTTTGAAATAAAATGCGCTTGATTCATAAAATTACTTGAAATTACATTACAAAAATTGTAAAAAAATTTACTGTAAAATTATCATTCATTACAGACATATATATAACTATTTGATTACTTTGCTTATTGTTTTATCAAATGATATCTATTCTAATATATAATGCTATATTATTTGATAGAAATTTTGAAATAAAATGTGATTGAAACGAGCTTGATTCCTTAAATTGAAAAAAAATTACTATTCATTACAAACACATATATATTTTGCTTATTGTTTTATCAAAAGAGCAAATAATATAATATCTATTCTAATATATAATGTTATATTATTTGATATATTATTATATTATATATTATATATATTATTTGATATTGAAATTTTGAAATAAAATGTGATGTGATTGAAACAAGCTTGATTCCTTAATTAAAAAAAATTATTATTAAAAAATTACTTATTGTTTTATCAAAAGAACAAATAATATAATATCTATTTTAATATATAATGCTATATTATTTGATAGAAATTTTGAAATAAAATGATTGAAACGAGCTTGATTTCTTAAAGTTGATACTTGAAATTATATTACAAAAATTGGAAAAAAATTTACTGTAAAATTACCATTCATCATAGACATATATAACTATTTGATTACTTTGCTTGTTTTATATTTGATTGTTTTATCAAAAGAGCAAATGATAGTATCTTTTAGAATTGTTTAAAATTTTATTTTTAAAGTATTTTTAGAACAGGTAGTTCAATAAACGAGGATAATTTAATATGCTCCATGCTTCATGACTTCATTAACAATCAAAAAAATAAATATTAACTCTAATAAGTTTATTGATTGTATCTTCTCTGTCCTATACAGTGAGAATTAATAGAATCACAAATCCAAATAATTCCTATATATATATAATATATCTGTAATTAATATTTTTGAAACGAATGACAATTTCACAGTGAATTTTCAATTTTTATATACAAATTAGATTATACATAGATTAATTTTTACTGCACATGTATTCTTTTGCTCGCTTACGATCGAATACGAATTTTCTCTTAAAATTTCCATTTAAGGCTTTTCGTTCAAATTATTGGCCAAAATTAGAGTCGCTTTTTTTCCCCCCTTTACTAAAGTAAAGTAGATTTCGATTCATCGCGTAACAAATTGACGAAACGATCGATAGATTTATCGCGATTAAAAGGTGATATGGATCCTCCTTCACCGTCCCATTATGTCGGCCATGTCATTTTGATAATCTCGTGTCCCCCCGTCTTTCGCCTAATTATTTCCCTTTGTTCCGTTTCCGCCACGAAACTTTGTTATCGGAACATTCTGACCCATTCGTTCGAAAAAAATTCCACCTCCACTTTAATAAAACTTTGGTTGGTGAATAATAGCATCTTGTTTTTTTTTTTTTTTTTTAGAGCTCGTCGCCTTCGCGTCAAAGACGATTGATATCGAGCGAACAACTTTTGATGAAGTTTCGGCTTTGAAAGGCTTTTCCAATCGATATTATCGGATCGACGAGTGAAAATATAATATTTGAATCAAATATAAAATACCTCGTTTTTTAATTCGAAATAATTCCCTTGTAAAAATTATTGAAAAAATATTATCGGATGAAACGATAATTGCAAAAATTTTTCGATTATCACCTATCTGGCCTAATAAAAGTTGTCGAAAATATACTTACACTTTTTTCTCGAACGAAACTCTTATCTCTTCGATTATTCATTTCAGGGGAACGAGTGGGATAGATATCGACCTACGCAGGCTGGACATAGATCAGTGCCCTCTGCCTCCGGGCTCCACTCAATTGAACATATTCGCAGCCAGTGACAAATGCAAGAAGCGGACTACAGAGGTTGGTATTTCCACGATTCCTGGACATACTTTTTTGTTACAAGAGGAATATATATATAAGATAAATTTCAATATATAATTTATAAATTATATAAATATATAATTTCAATATATATATATAAGATAAGATTCAATGCGAATAATTTTCATGAGATTCCAAATATCATTTGGACACCATTGTAAAAATTTCGAGAATCCATCCATCTTCGATTCGATTCGCGAAAATCGATCGATGATAATTCGTTCGAAAAAAAAAAAAAAAAAAGAAAAGAAAGAAAGAAAATTCGATTATTCCATTGTTTCCATTCCACGACCCGTTTTCTTTATCAACACCTAATTATCGTTCCATTACAGTGCATCGCGATCCCAGGGCTGGGATTCCGTCGTGGAAGCTATCGATGCATCTGCAAACGTGGCTTTTATTATCCCGACATCAAATCCTCCAGTCGATACTACAATGGCACCGTTATCGAGGAAGAATTCGAAAAGTTGATGATGGTGAGTTTTTCGAATGAAACACTTTTCTCAATAATTCAATCTGTGTATTTTTATTCGTTAGTCAAAAAATTACAATTGTTGAAAATTTTATTTGCAAAAAAAAAAAAATCTTTTTGAATTTTCGAAATTCAATCGAACATTCTTCGTTAACGTGATTTATCTGAAAATCTGTAATAAAAAAAAAAAAAGAAAAGAAAAGAAGAGAAAAGAAAATATACAAAGCGAGTTTCAGAAGTGTAAAGTTTTATTCTGGGAAAAGAGAACTTTAAAAACTTTTAGGTTAGTTGTTTAAAAAATAAGAAATATATATATATATTTTTTGCCACCTTTTGCCCAACTCTCTCTCTTTCTCTCTCTCTCTCTCTCTCTCCCTTTCATTCTGTTCAGAGACTGTTCAGTGAGTCAGCCCCTGTACGACTACTATTCGTCCAGCAACATTGAAAGACTTTCACAATTTTATTTCATTTTTACTCCATCCTATTTAATTCTATTGTTGGGATCGTTTCAATTATATATATATATATATATAATGTATAAGTTCAAGTTTCGAAGGAATTAGAGGATATACTTTTGGATCAGATTCTTCAACGATAATTTGTCAATGTCTTACTGGGCAAAACTCGTGTTCTCATAAGCACATCATTACTTCCAGGTCACAGATCATTGTTTCTTACTCGAGGATCTTCAAAAGGACGCTGTTCGAATCGATCTTTAGTTTCTTCACGAGAATTTCTCGTTAAACACTTTTGAATCTTTTTAAACTATGCTTAAATCCTCCCCTCCCCCCTCTGGAAGTCAAAAACTTGACAAACTTCAGAAATGATTCACGAGAAAGAGAGAGAAAGAAAAAAAATTTCTTCTTTCAAGTTCTCGACTTATTTAGGTGTCTAAATGACTTAGAAGTTTGGTCTTGATCTAAGAATTTGAAGAGGGTTAAGGAGTAAAGAAAAGGATTGTCTTAATGGCATAGCATTCAAAGTTCTATCACTGGTAAATAATTATTAAGTTATTCCCATATGTAATCTTGCATCATTTGATAGAAATTTTGTAATAAAATGTGATGGAAACGAGCTTCATTCCTTCCTAAAAATATTTGAAATTACATTAAAAAAAATTGAGAAAAAATTTATCTCAAAATCGTCATTCGTTTCAAGAATATTATAATTATAAACATATACATTACATGAACACCAAAAATTCATAAGCAATTCATCGTTATTTCAGCCTTCGATTTCTTGCACCCAATCAAGAGATTCTGACGAATCAGCATACTCGTACGAGCTATCCAACTTGACCAGATCATCTGCGTTACAATTGTTCGCTCAAGTTATTTTGGGATAGGCTTCCGTTAAATTAGGGTTACCTTTGTATCAGGATATTAGATTCAGGTTGATCTCAATTCCTCCACCTTTTGCCCAACTCTCTCTCTCTCGTTTTCATTCTGTTCAGAAACTGTTCAGTGAGTCAGCCCCTGTACGACTACTATTCGTCCAGCAACATTGAAAGACTTTCACAATTTTATTTCATTTTTACTCCATCCTATTTAATTCTATTGTTGGGATCGTTTCAATTATTATTAAACGCACGGAATGATAGAAAAATAAGCAAAATTGAAAAAAGAAAATGTAATTAATTTTATATATTCTCACAATTGTTTCAATTCTTCAAGAAACGCATTTAGGCAAATATCATGCGCAGGGATATTGGAATGGATGAAACAATTTGAGAGGAGAAATAGGTGTATTTTGTATCAAGGAAAGAAAGAAAAGAAAAAGAAAAAAGAAGTTGATTACCAATCACGTGATTGCACGTGATACAACGTTCTGTTTTTTTTTTTTTTTTTTTTTTTGAGTGAAGTTGCCACGGGTTGCTTGTAATTGCTGATAAATGACTAAGGAACACGCGTTCGTTACAAAAGGCGGAGGCCTTGGATATAATTAATGTATTGACAAACTACAAAGAAGAATCTCACATTGTTGTTCCATGTGTAAGAAACGGTAATAATTGCGCTCGTCATTTAAATTGCTAATTCTAATGAACCACGTGCAATGACGATAAACGCAAAGGTTATTATGCTGTGCAAGGGTTATGCAAGAAGAGAATTTCTATTTGACGTGTTCTTGAAATTACTCGATGATACACATTTTTTTTTTCTTTTTCTTGGAAATGTTTCGAATCTTTATCTCTTCGAGGAGACGGTTTTCAAGGAGAAACGAATGCGGAGTCGAAGATCTTTATCGATGTTTAAATTATATTACGTAGTCGCGAAATAGTAGTTTCTCACCCCGTGAAAGGGAAATCACGCGAGGCACGAAAATTACTTCATATACACTTAACGATACAGAAGTCGGCCTGGTTCTCGTATTTTCCATTAACCTGTCACGAATCAGGAACGTACCAGTTTGAAAAAAGAAAAAAAAAAAAAAAGAAAAAGAAAAAAATGACCCAATTTTTGTCAACCTCTGCAACTAAATTTCAACTTCTGAACGATTGTTTGAATGAAACATAATAAATGATAACTAAACTTCAAACATTCGTCTCCCTCTCGTCAAAATTGAACCATTTATCGATCGATCGGGATGAGATTATACTAATTTTTAAAGCGAGATTAAAATTAAAATTTCATCCGGAATGATTGAATAAAAATTACGAGGGTATTAAAGAATTGTCATCGTTGAAAAGCGATAGAAATTATTCCATTTAGTTTCAAAGTTTCGAAGAGAAGTCACAATTAATCTCGAGAGATTTAACAAAGTTAATAAGCGGAGAACGGAAAAAAAAAAGGAAAAAAAAAAAGGTGCAAAGTTTCTTGGCAACGAGCCAAAGCAACAAATATCGTTTATAGAATGTTTTCATGAAGTTGTGCGTTAAATATGCAGAGGTTGGGTCGTGGACAGAAAATTTGACTAACTTTTTCTCGGCTCGCTCGAAAACTCATTTGTGATTCTTTCTTTTTATTTCGAGCGTTTTGGAAACTTTCCAAAAAAAAAAAAAAAAAAAAAAGAAAAAAAAGAAAAACAACAAAGTACAATTTTAAACCGAATCAGCCAGATCATTTTTACTGTCAGACATTCGATCATTCGTGATGAAATCTCGATCCACAAGATTATCGAGAATTTTTTCTCTTGTTAATTAATGAAAAATCATGCTCAGAGGCAAGGATTATTATTCATGCTTATTCAAGATGAGATAAAAAGTTACCAAATTTTTTTCGTAACGTTCGATAGTATCCCCTAGACGCGCTTATTATATTCCCCAAGCGCGGAAGTATTCCGATAAGTTTCTTCGCGACGCCACCCGATATTTTACATCGGTTTCTTCTCATCCCAATAACTTTCCACAAAATAGTTCTATAAACTGTTTCCTACATGTCGAAAACTTCTCATTTCCCTAAAGTTGGAGATTCGTGTTTCGTGCAGATTCGATCCAATAATTGATTAATTAATCGAAGATTTTCGTCGACTCGTCGTTTCGTTGCTTATTCTTCGTATTCCTTCCAATTCGTTTTTCTTTTCACGAGCACCCTGTATATATCTAATCGAATAGAAACCATTGAATCGTTCGTTTCTTCGCGCGAAAATGGATATCGACAGGGATTCTGTGCTGTCATCCACAGTGTCATGCGGTATAACGTGCTCGATTTGACGAGAGAATCTGCACACGATCGGCGAAACGATTCCCGACCCCGTGTTTCAACGAAACGTTATTAATTTCGTTTCGCTCGATTTGTCGAATGATTAGTGTAATAAATATGATAGAATTGAATTTATTTCCATTCGTACACCGGGATTGCCGGGAATCGTGTGTGTGTGTGTGTGTGTGTTCATCGATCGAATTTGTACATTTTTTTTTTTTTTTGTATTATAAATAGGATTAAAAAAAAATTCAAACTGTGATGTTCAGTTATTATTCTCTTGTTTCTTTGACACACAATTTTTACAAGTTTTCCAATTAGAACAGAATTTCACAAAGAAACGAGAGAGTTTCGAAAAAATAAAAAAATAAATCAAGCTCGTTAGAATAAAATTTTGTTTGAAGACCCAACATCATTTCCATCGGCGTGATAACGTAATAAACGAGTTAAAAAAAAAAAAAAAAAAAAAAGAAAGGAGAACAAATATCTGGAGGAATAACTTAAACACGAGTAAGAATCGGGAGAACAATTAAACGAAAGAATCTGCTCTTTTCACAAGATGGTATCCTCGGTGACACGACGCGTTTTCACAAAGGGAGAGAAAAAAAAAAAAAAAAAAGAAAAAAAAAGAAAGACTTAGGCAGAGAGGGAACAAAAGAAAATCCGACGGGGGCCAACTAGCTTCATTGTTCGGACATTATTTCGTGAGAACAAAACAATTCTTGTTGGACTGGTGAGGGAGGGGGAGGGAGGGGGGACGTAGGTGTAGCGGAAAGTGGGTGAAAAAAAAGGTGAATAATTTCTGTCTGCTCCACGATTCACTGTTACAACGATGGTAATTGAGGGTGTGCATTGAATGGTGTTGCACATCACACATCCTCGAAATTCCCTATTCTCTGGAGAGCTGTTCCAGCCTTTTTTACGAGCCCCTTTTAACGAGAGAGGAAAAAATATTAAATAGCAAACTCTGACACGAGTCAATAACAAATCAAATGTTTTTTTTTTTTTTTTTTTCAGGATCGTCATCAGGTTCATATGTACATTTTAATAAATGGAACTTTGCGATAGAGACGATTATGAATAATTTGAATAAATGAAAATGCATGGATATAGAAAGATATACGCGACGAAATAATTGTGTTTTCAACACTTGTAACTCGATAACTCATTTTTCTTAAATTTATCTTAAGTCAAAATTTACAACAACATAAGAAATCCTTGTATTGAAAATCCTCGTGCAATTTTCATTTGAATGTGTGGATAAATTAAGCAGTCATAAAATTTGAAGAGTAACAATGGAATTAGAACTTTCGAGAAGCCATTCTCGAATCTTTTCAATTCCTTCAATTCGAGGAGAATCAAAATATAATTTTTTCATATTCGAAATTTTCGATTTATATTTGACATATCGCAGAATAATTTGGAATTGATACATTCAAGAAGCCATTCTCCAATTCTTTTCAAAATCTCTCCAATTCCACGAGAATCAAAATATAATTTTTCCACATTTGAAATTTTCGATCGATTCTATATAACGTGGAATAATTTGAAGACTAATATTGGAATTGGAACTTCGAGAAATCTCTCCAATTCCTCCAATTCCGCGAGAAATACAAAATACAATTCCTCCATATTCGAAGAGAATTAAAATACAATTCCTTCATATTCGAAGAGAATCAAAATACAATTCCCTCGTATTCGAAGTTTTCGATCGATTCTATATAACGTGGAATAATTCGAAGACTAATATTGGAATTGGAACTTTAAGAAGCCATTCTCTCCAATTCCTCCAATTCGAGGAGAATCAAAATATAATTTTTCCATATTCAAAATTTTTGATATAACGTGGAATAATTTGGAATTGGAACATTGAAGAAGCCATTCTCGAATCTCTCCAATTCCTCTTCCATATTCCATTTTTCGATTTATATTTTGCATACCGCAGGATGATCGATTATCAATTCATCGACATCCATTCGACGACAAAGCCGAAAATCTTTTTTTTTATCACGTCTTTATTTCCCTTCGTAATTGCATTCTCGATTTCCCATCGATCAGCAAGTTTTGGAAACGAAAAAATTGGCCTGAAAGAGCCGTTTCTTTTCGCCGTTTCAGTAATAGTTGGACCATTTGTCTCGTTAACCGAATGTTCGGATAGTTTTTTAGATCGTCGATCCAATAAATCATGCCGTTTCTTTCTACAAGTTTGGTCCTTTCACCCTTTCTGCTTCGTTGATTTTTCCTTTGTTCGAGTTGCTTTTTGTAAATAAAGGGTGGCCTAACAGTACAGTTTAAGATCTTAGATAAGTTATATAAGCCTAATTATATAATGCATAGTTTATTCCTGTTTCCTTTATATATTCTTTATTTTAATCATTTCACGATCTATTATATTATATTCCCCGATAATTAGAACATGCATCTATGAAAAATTTATATATACACAATGCGTGTGATAAGATAAAGAAAAAAAAAGATAAAGAATCGTTGCAAAAAGAAAAAAAAACACTCAAAGTAAAGTGTACACTAAAATTATATTCATAAAAATTTTAATTTCCACAAATATTCTGTCCAATAATAATTCGATTTGCACGATACATACAATCTTATATATTGCATATTTTTTTGATATTCAACATTCTTTCCAATTAAAATTCTAAATTATGTTCATAAAAATTTTAATTTTCACAAATATTCTGTACAATAATAATTCGATTTGCACAATACATATAATTTTATATATTCCATATTTTTTTTTATTCTTTCCAACTAAAACTCTGATATTATGTTCATAAAAATTTTAATTTTCAATATAAAAATATTCTGTCCAACAATAATTCGATTTGCACGATACATACAATCTTATATATTCCATATTTTCTTGTTGTTCAACATTCTTTCTAATTAAAACTCTAAATTATGTTCATAAAAATTTTAATTTTCACAAATATTCTGTCCAATAATAATTCGATTTGCACAATACATACAATCTTATATATTCCATATTTTTTTTATTCTTTCCAACTAAAACTCTGATATTATGTTCATAAAAATTTTAATTTTCAATATAAAAATATTTTGTCCAACAATAATTCAATATGCACAATACACTTACTGTATTGCAATTATATATTTCATATATATATATTTTTTTTATTGTGTAAAATGTATATTGTATAATATATATTGTATATTGTATAAATATTTTCAACTAAAACACTTTCTGCATAAAGGTGAATGGCACAAGCGAGAACGAATAAAAGAGAGAGAGAGAGAGAGAGAGAGAGAGAGAGAGAGAAACGTTCACGCGTTATAGTTTCGATGAGATTGATCCAGTCGTTTCGCTAAAACGTTGTAACAGATTACGTACGGTTCCTTGTCACTCCACTTCGTCGTCGACTAATGAGAACACACGTCAGAAAGACACTGGCAGCCGATACGAGGAATCGAATACGCTTGGCCCTCGAGGTCGTCGTCGATATATTGCAAGCTTAATGCCCGTCCTCTGTGACAAGCGTGTCATTTATGATTAACGCAACGCCTTGGCACAATATCGTGTTTCGAGTTTATGCGCGCGCAAAACTGGCGCGCCGATTCCTATCCCGTTGATTGCTTTCTCATCGGGACTCGAGGCTGTCAACAGTGTCGACGAGAGAGGGGAGGAGGGGGTGAATTGCGATTTCAATTTTCTAACTTACCGGTTATCGAGAACCGGTTGCCTGTAAGAAGCAATTTCGAAATTGCTTCCCTTCCTGATCGATCTTCATATTCTCGATCGATTTTGAAAAAAGGCAATTGTTGGGATCGATCGGATTTCCATGCAGAATAATCAAGCAGTTAATTAAGAGTTTACTAAAATTTATATATTTTCAGATATTTCGACGAATATTTTTAGTCTTTACGGAACAGTCTGACGTTTTCATATATCTTAAAAAAATTGATAGTAAATTAATTGTATTGCTGAATTACTAACGACAATTCTGTTTTATGCGAAATTTTATTAAATTATAAGTATATATATATATATATATATAGATTATGTACATGAACTGATAACAGATTGGTGCAAGTTTTTTATCAATTAATAAAGTATAAGTATAAAAGTAATAATAATATATTATTAAGAAAATATTTACAAGCACACAAAAAGACACGAAGAAATGATGACAAAAATTTGAGGATTGAGATTTACATTTCTTAAAAAAATAAAAAAGTAAAAGATGTCACAGAGGATCATGTTCGCACAACATTTTTCACACGATAACTACGACCACGTTTAAATCTTATCTCCCTAACTGAACCCACCAATCTCTATGAATCGATTCTCTATACATACCGTTTCCATTAATCCTTCAGTCCAATTGATTTTTTTTCCACCGAAACCAAAAAAAAAAAAAAAAAAAAAAAAAAAAAAAAAAAAAACCAAAATCGGTTATCAATTAATCATCGGTCGTAATCGCATCCGTGTAACAAACCGTGTTGAATTTTAATCACATTTTGCTTCGTTTGACAATGGTCGTCGCCATAACGTTTATCGTTATTATCATCGTTCAACGTCGGACGGGGAGGGGGAGGAGTCAATGGTCAGAATCGCGTACACAGGTATGCCGTTAACGCGAGTTATTTCATTGTTGCCACTCGTAACAGATGTTTGCGGCCGCGCCACAGTGGAAAAGGCTGTGATTGACCCGTTTCACCCGTTGCAAAGGTTTTTGAGGACAGAATTTTAACTAACGAATAAACATATTTTAACTTTCATTCAATTGCTTCAAAGCATCGTGGTGTGTTTTCACGTGTGTTTATTCATTCGGTTGAAATTCTGCATTTCTGCACGTGTATTTCATTGTTTGTATATAGTAAACTAAGAAACTGGTCAATTAGTGGGAAAGATTGTGGTTTGAAAATTTTTATTTTTTCGAATTGTTTTTTAATTTCGAAGAAAAGTGTTTTTCTGTTGACGAGTTGGAGAAACAAATATATATGGAGAAAGATACGAAGGAATATTTTATCGAGTTTAAGTGAAAAAAACGACTCTGTATAAGATTTAAGATTTGTCTGCTTGTTTTTTGTAAACAATGTTCTGTTAAAATTACGTATAAAGTAGATTTATTCTAGATAATGATTGATAATGATAATGTTCAAATAGTAACACGTATATAAATTCGTATATAATACGTGACATATTTCGTTTGTGTAATTAATTTGATCAGTTTGATTTATTATGCATACGTTTTGTAATGGATTCCTCGTATTTCTCGGCGTGAATACGTGGGAAACAGGTAACTTGTAAGTCGTCTTTAATTACCGAGAGTCAAGTTTCGCAAAGTTGTTGGAAGTTTAATGTCGGTTTATTAACACGATAAACCATGTTGACAAGCTTTGGATGATTAATGGTCGAGCGATCGGGTCAATAGCTTGGATTCATATATTAATTTACATGCTCAAACTTGTTCAATACTCGTGATCCCGATATACACAATTTTCTCTCTAAATTAATCATCGACTAAAACTGTTGTTAGAAACTGTTGTGTTGTTGTAAGTGGTGATTGGTTTGGAAGCAAATTTCTCTTAAGATATGAGTTCTATGAAATCTTGGAAAAGCCAATATTAATGGATATTTTCAAGAATTCAACCCGATTTTATATTGATATTATTATATTATATTGATATATTATATTGATATTAATTTTATATTGATTCGAAAATTTTTTGAATTTTCAATGCAATTATTAATTGAAATTGAATTTTCGAAATATCGAAATTGGGTTCTTTGAAATTTTGGAAAAGCCAATATTTTGTGTCAGTCACATGGATACTTTTGAGAATCCAACCCGATTCGAGTATCGGTTATTCGAAAATTTTTTAGATTTTGAATTATTTACGATTATTAATTGAAATTGAATGAATTTTGGAAGCTTTGAAATATTGGGTTCTTTGAAATCTTGGAAAAGCCAATATTTATATCAGTCACATGGATACTTTTGAGAATCTAACCTGATTTTGAGTATTGGTTATTCGAAATTTTTTGAATTTTGAATACGATTATTAATTGAAATTAAATGAATTTTAGAAGCTTTGAAATATTGGGTTCTTTGAAATCTTGGAAAAGCCAATATTTATATCAGTCACATGGATACTTTTGAGAATCTAACTTGATTTTGAGTATTTTTTATTCGAAATTTTTTGAATTTTGAATACGATTATTAATTGAAATTAAATGAATTTTGGAAACTTCGAAATATTGAGTTTTCTGAAATTTTGGAAAAGCCAATATTTATATTAGTCACATGATACTTTTAAAAATCCAACCCAATTCGAGTATCGAAATTTTTTGGATTTGAATTATTTATGATTATTAATTAAAATTGAGTGAATTTTCGAAATTTCGAAATATTGGGTTCTCTGAAATCTTGGAAAAATATTTATGTCAATCACATACTTTTGAGAATCTGATTCGAGTGTCGATTATTTGAAATTTTTTGAATTTTGAAAACGATTATGAATTGAAATTAAGTGAATTTTGGAAACTTTGAAATATTGAGTTTTCTGAAATTTTAGAAAAGCCAATATTTATTATTTTTTTATTAGTCACATGATACTTTTAAAAATCCAACCCAATTCGAGTATCGAAATTTTTTGGATTTTTTATTTAATTGAATTATTTATGATTATTAATTAAAATTGAGTGAATTTTCGAAATTTCGAAATATTGGATTCTCTGAAATCTTGGAAAAGTCAATATTTATATAAGTCACATGATATGACTAATAAGTCATTTTAAAAATCCAATCCAATTCGAGTATCGATTATTCGAAAATTTTTTGAATACGATTATTAATTAAAATTGAATTTTCGAAGCTTCGAAATATTGGGGTTCTCTCTCCATTCGTGTATTTGACTCGATTCAAAATTTTCTCGAAATCTCCTCCAATATCAAAAATATATGTGTTCTCGATACGATCGAAGAAAGAACAGAAATTTTTTTACAGATGATAAATTTTCGCGATACATATTTCGTGGGACAATGTATTATACCCACTTCGAACACACAAGCACGCCACCTAATAAGATGCGAGGGTTCATTTGGCATACACGTGGAAGTGGCATACTGTGGATATAGTTACTTGTGCCCTTAATATCCTAAACCATAACGTTGCCGTTGCAGTGATTTGTGACAACGATAAATTCCCCTCCAACTTAAGTCCCGATACGATTTACGACACTGTAATTTGTAGCTTGCGTTATACACAAGGAAGTGATCGCTACCCGTTTATGCTTGGAATTATTTTCGAGTCCGATGGGAGGAGGCGTACGTTCTATCGCGGTGTATTTCGATTTTGACATCGACATCGGTTAACGAACCAATTAGCCGGTTATGAGCCCGCCGATGGGATTAAGAATGGCGTCGAATGTCGATCTGCAATCCCGTTACATCTCGTTCACGTGAGAGCGCGATAGAAACTCGTACGTAACATGTTGGAAATGCGTTCAGAATTCGATTTTATATTAAGTTGAAAAATATTATGTAATCTCTGTTTTTTATTCCAAGAAAGAAGAATTTTTAAAAAGGGAGAAAAAAGGTTGGATTTTCGTTACATGAAAAACGTAGAGAAAAGATAGAAAAGTGTAATTGGGTAATTGGAGAAAAATGGGATTTATATGCAAGAGAATATTGATAATCGATTATTCGAGTTATTGATACTTTTTCAATTGTTGAGAAAATCTTTTCATTTTTAAATTTCTTTAAATTCCATTATCTCTTTGCCAGGCCTCAATTGTTCGCATTAGTTACAGAATTAAGGAGGTTATCGGTGTGATCAACAGTTAAGAACGTAATCTAAGTCCAATAGGTCTTTAATCTTCGAACATCCCTTCCATTTATCACCTAATCTAACCTAACCTAACCAAAGTTTCCGCGCATAAACATCGGTTTATACCAAATACCATTATTCCATTATATTAATCCCATTCATCATCTCGTGCATAGTGAAATAAAACTAAAAAAAAAAAAAAAAAATTCTTCAATCATACGAAACATCTTTTGTACAAACTCAAGTTCCTTCAAATTTCTTCTTCGAAAATTCGAAGAAGATAGACACTCGATGAACAGACAGACGTAGAACATAAGTCGTTTCATCGTTTTTGTTTCAAAGATCGTTCCAAGTTTATCGTCGCTTGCCACCGAAATTGCCAGAGGCTAAGCTCCGCCCACTTTCCAGGAAATGCGTGCGGGCTCGCCACGGTGTAGTAAAAAATCCGCTGACTCGGCGTTCCTCGATAGAGTGAGAGGGGAAAGGTTGGTCAATGATGCGTGCGAGTGAGAGGGATGCAGGCATTGAGAATCCGTTACGAGGGACGTTATCTCGGCTCGTGTTGGGACGAAAAGCGTTTTAAAGGGGAAGATCTCTTTTTGCTTTTCAATTCGTGTGGATGGGAATTCGGTGCAGCTATGCGGAATAAAAATATTATATTTCAATGGATCGGCCAGGGATCTTATTAACTAGGAAATGGATTTGATAGATTTGATCGATAAATTAGATGGATATCTAGACTTTGAATTTTTATGTTAATGTAGTGTGTTTTTTTTTACGTTACATTTTGCGCATTAACGATATGTATATTTATTTCTCTCGGTATTATTTCTCTATATTATTATAATATCGTATTATTATATAATATAATATATTATATATTATCGTATATTATTTCTCTCGGTTTTATTTGTATGATAATGGAATATTACGAAGAATCAATATTTTTATTATTATATTATCAAAAGGTGGAAAAATATCGAATGGTTTATTTGGTGACAAGATTCAATATGAAGTAATACATGTTATACGTATTATCTGATGTATTGCATGGCAATTTACTTTTAAAAAAAAAAAAGAAATAAAAATTTGATGCAAGTAAATTTACATAACAAATTTATTGACATTTTGTTGAAAATATTACACGTTACATTACACTTTGAATACGATATATTTCCTACACATGTTAAATTGAATATTTAAGCTTGTTTTCAGTCGCATAAAAATTCGTTATCCAATAATAATAATCCGTTAAGAGAGAAGAAAAATATGCAAATCGTACATGAATTTAAAAGATTTTATTCTTTCCTTTAGCTTCTAGAATTTTTTCCTTTAAAGTAATTTATTCGAAAAAAAAAAAAAAAAAAGAGAGATGAATTTTTCCCTGAAATCTTATGAAAATATATTTGTTTCTTTATTTCAATTTCTTAATTTTCGTTTGTGCGTTTCCAACAGGGAGAGGAGAGCCAATACGACGAGGATGGGGTGTTCGAGTGTCTTCCTTGTGCCGAGGGTTGCGAATTCTGCGAGGACGATTCCCCGTGCGTGGTATCCTTGAATTGGCTGATGAGAACCGCGATTCTCATCCTGGAGTGCTGTGTCATCGCCTGTTTGCCGGCGGTCGCCCTTTTCACTTGGAAATATGGAAACGTGAAGGCAAGTGGGCAGTAACAATTTTTACAGATGAATAAATTTTTTTTTTTTTCACAATGGAGATATAATTTAATTTTGAACGAGTTGATAATTCGTATTTTCGAATTTTCTTCTTCTTTTTTTTTTTTTTCTTTTTTTATCATAGAATGATTTTAAAGCTTGGTCAATTAAGGAGAGGGAAGAAAATTGGAAGAAAAATGGTGTAGTCGCTTCGAAAAGAAATTCCATTAGCAGAATTTTTTTCGTAACGTAGGACAGGTTCTTAGTTTTTGTCGATTAAAGATGGTTCGATGAAAAATGATGGCGAATAAGTTCGAGATAAATCATCGTGAATAAATTTATTTCTACGAATTAAGCGTTTACAAGGATCTCAAAAATTTGTTTAAGCATAAATTATATATATAAAAATTTTTTTAAGCAAAATATGGATAATGAAATTTTATATATCGTCCTCTCTTTATCTTCTCGATAAACTATTCGTCGAAAATAATCAAATCTTCCATATCTTCCTAACCCGACCATCTTAATCTCAAAACTCTAGATCTATCCTTCGAGTCGACAATTTTCAATCCAGATTTAAAATAATCAAAAAACTCGATGCCATCCGCGTTTCAGTCAATTCTTCCCGTTGGAAAAGTCGTCGTTGGTATTCTCGAAAAAATTCTATCGAGGAGACTTGGCCATCGTGAAAGGGGGCGGCCGTCTTTAATCCGATCTAACGAACTGCACCGTTCAGCGGAGCAGTTTAAAAACTCTTGACGAAAGAATCAGGGGTGAAAGTTGATCCATCGTTGGAAATTAATTAACTCGGGGCCGAGCTGCCTTTTCAAACCTGATTATTTTGTCGTTGGTGATCCGATCCGACCGCTATTCCGCTTCCAAATGTAAATTACTTCTCTCTGAATTGCAAAATTGTGGTGCAATTTTCCATATAAACCGAGATTGCCCCCTGTCCTGTGCAGCCTTTGTAATGTCACGAGTAAAAATTATGCAATTGTTCAAATAACAAAAGTGTATTTACAAGAGTTGCTTTCCAATTCGTTTCGAATCATTTAAATATATATTCTGATAAAGGAAAATTGCTTTAAACGTTTAAACGTTTATTGTTGCAATTTGAAATTTAAGCTGTGCAATGATCTGATTTTGCAATTAAATAAATAGTAAAGATATGTTTAAAAATTAAGAGTTGCTTTCCAATCATTTGAAATCACTGAAATATATTTCTTTAATAAAAGAAACTTGCTTTAAATGTTTAAACTTTATTGTTGCAATTTGAAATTTTGCAATGATTTGATTTTGCAATTAATCAAATAATAAGATATGTTTAAAGATTAAGAGTTGCTTTTCAATCATTTGAAATTACTGAAATATATTTTCTTAATAAAAGAAAATTGCTTTAAATGTTTAAACTTTATTGTTGCAATTTGAAATTTTGCAATGATTTGATTTTGCAATTAAATAAATAGTAAAGATATGTTTAAAGATTAAGAATTGCTTTCCAATCATTTGAAATCACTGAAATATATTTTCTTAATAAAAGAAAATTGCTTTAAATGTTTAAACTTTATTGTTGCAATTTGAAATTTTGCAATGATTTGATTTTGCAATTAAATAAATAATAAAAATATGTTTAAAGATTAAGAGTTGTTTTCCAATTATTTGAAATCACTGAAATATATTTCTTTAATAAAAGAAAATTGCTTTAAACGTTTAAAACTTTATTGTTAATATTTAAACTTTGCAATAATCTGACTTGAATGATGTAATTGTTCAAATGATAAAAGTGTATTCAGAGATTAAGAGTTGCAACGTTTTCCAATCATTTGAAATCATTAAAATATATTTTATAATAATTGCTTTAAACTTTACTGTTACAATTTGATATTCAAGCTTTGCAATAATCTGATTTGAATGATGAAACAATGAAACAATAATTTGTATTGATATATTTATTTAATTCAAAATCATAATATTTGTGAATTACCATATGTATTATTTTCATATTACAAGAAGAAAAAAGAAAGGAATCCATTAGACACTTAGTATCTTATAATAAGATGATAATGAATATCAAATAATAAAATGTATTTCTAAAAAAGATTAAATTACTTTCAAGGTAATCACACTTCACTTCAAATTCTTTTAACATTGATTAAAACAATCATCCTTTCACTAATTTTCCACAAGAGAAGATAAGTCTATGTCAAAAAATAAAAACCATTGACCGTTTCTTTTCTTAGCTTGATCCTTTGAATTATTTGTCCACTCCAATTCTATCTGTCTCACCCAATTTAACCATTCTACCAATTCTACTCTTCAATCCTCGATTATTTCCAATATCAAATCGTACGAGAAAAGACAAACTCCATCGAGTTTATTATATACATATCACACATGATCAATCTGGACCATCAAGATCGACCATTTTCTTCGATTATTATTTGTACTTTTCTACACTTTTAATCACACGGCTCGGCTGGATCCGAGTTAGAGGAGTGGAGAGAGGGAAAAAAAAAAAAAAAAGATAGAAAAAAAACCAAGGTCGATTCTTCCATGGGGATAATGGGGTAGGATTCGAGCGGATCAAGAGAACAATCGGAGCCCCGAAAACGTTGAACTTCAACCGGTCGAAGCTGTATTCCATTTCTGCCCGATAATGGAAACTCTTCGGCTAACGAATCCTGTCCTGTCCAATCATCCACCGTGATTAAAGAGAGAAAAAGCTTCGAAACGATGAATAACAGGCTGATGTTTTCCCTCCCTCCCCCAACAGGGGAATTCTGTTGGTCCACCTTCGCCTCCTCTCCTCCTTCCTCCTCTTTCTCCTCTCTCTTGATAATCGCTCGTTTCGAATTCGCATTTTTGGAAGATAATCACGTCAAACAGGCACGTTGTCCAATGTTCCTCCCCAGGAAATTAAAATCTCGAGCCAATTTTGAGTTTATAGAGAATTTAGAGATCTTTCCAGGTTTTTCATATTAATTGATTTTATTTCTGATTTTGAGATTATTTTTTTTTCAGGGAAAGTGGAGGAAAGGTGTAAGGAAAATTTCTGAGAAAATTTTAGAGGAGTGGTTATAACGTTGTGTTTTGGATCATTTGTGTGAAAGAATTTGACAAGTTGAATTAAGAGAGTGATGGCACGTAAGACGTTTGGGGAAATTATATTTGCAAAAGAAGGGTGTAAAGATAAATGGATCGATTGGATTTTTATTCTTGATTTTGAGATTATTTTTTTGTCAAGAGAAAGTGGAGGAAAGGTGTAAGGAATCTGAGAAAATTTTAAGGGAGTAGTTATAATATTGTGTTTTGTCACCATTTGTGTGTAAAGAGGAAGTTTTAATGTAATGGGTATATGAAAAAATGATGGGGTATTTAAGATAAAAAAATATTCGTGAAGGAATTTGACAAATTGAATTAAACATAAGGAAATGATACATAAAATATTTGGGGAAATTATATTTGCAAAAGATAAATGGATGGATTGGATTTTTACTCTTGATTTTGAGATAATTTTTTTCAGGGAAAAGTGAAGGAAAGAGCTAAAGAATCTGAGAAAAATTTAGTTAAAGAATGATATAATATTGTATTTTATATGAAAAAAGTGAGAGTAAGATATAATGAAGAAGTTGCAAGAAGAAAATGATGAGATATTTAAAAAAGATGTAGATCTAGCTTTTTCATCTTTATTCTACTGATTTTGAGATAACTTTTTTCAAGGAAAAGTGGAAGAAAGATCTAAAGAATCTGAGAAAATTTTAGAAAATAGAGAGTGATTTAATATTGTGTTTTGTATGAAAAATGTGAGAATAAGATATCTGATGAGGAAGTTGCAAGAAGAAAATGATGAGATATTTAAAAAAGATGTAGATCTAGCTTTTTCATTTTTATTCTACTAATTTTGAGATAACTTTTTTCAGGGAAAAGTGGAAGAAAGATCTAAAGAATCTAAGAAAATTTAGGGAATAGTTAGAGAGTGATATAATATTTTGTATGAAAAAAGTGAAAGTAAGATATGATGAAGAAGTTGCAAGGAGAAAATGATGAGATATTTAAAAAAGATGTAGATCTAGCTTTTTCATCTTTGTTCTACTGATTTTGAGATAACTTTTTTCAGGAAAAAGTGGAGGAAAGATCTAAAGAATCTGAGAAAATTTTAGAGAATAGTTAGAGAGTGATATAATATTGTATTTTGTATGAAAAAAGTGAGAGTAAGATATGATGAAGAAGTTGCAAGGAGAAAATGATGAGATATTTAAAAAAGATGTAGATCTAGCTTTTTCATCTTTGTTCTACTGATTTTGAGATAATTTTTTTCAGGGAAAAGTGGAGGAAAGATCTAAAGAATCTGAGAAAATTTTAGAGTAATATAATGTTTTTGTGTTTTGGATATGTATGAAGAAAAAGTTACACATAAGACATTCGAACAAATATTTGCAAAAGAATGATGTAGCACGAGAAGAAGATGAATCAAAGATGATCAAGGGGCGAAATTCATAAGGAGAAATTTGTGAAATTAAAGATACAAATGCAGGAGTTGGACGAATAAAGTTTTAACGAATTCTAAACAAATTCTCGATAAATCAGGATGACCTTAATCTATCAAGTCGAGTGGTAGAGAGAGGATAACGGAATTACCTTCCAATCTAAAAGACTATCGACATCGGCCACGGGTTGATAAATTCGCTTTAATTAACCGGAAACAAGCGGGAACCTAAGCTTCGAGGCAGTTTCTGGCAACTATCGAGTTGTTATGGGAATTTATTACGGGAATAGCCCAAAGACAGAATTGTTTCCACCGGTTTCAGAAGTTTCCACTACGAAGTCAGTGCTGATAAGATTTCGACAGATTATGAAACCCTCCAAGTAACTAATATACAAGTTTCACGTGTTTCACAAACTTAACCCCTGTCTAATGTTATTTCATCGATTAGTTATTTCATCGTTGCTTAGATCTCGTTTCGTTTTCTTTCGATTTAACTTTTCCTTTGATATCGAGAGTA